GCTGTGTTATGCGTATTTCTTTATGCCTTTTTCTCCCCTGATGGAATATACTCTTTGCCAAGGCAAGGAACACATCTTGTTTACCTCATACCCATCACGCTAAAAACACTCAGGAAAATCTGTTGAGTGAGGAAAGGAACATGCTTGGTTTTTAAACATTTTAAAAGGGGCAATTTGTTTTCTTTCAGGGTTGCCTAGTTCAACTGCCAGACACCTACGACTGTGTCTGCAGAGATACCGGGAAAAATTGTAAGTTTAGATTAAAGTCTGATTTTCGTAGCTCAGGCACATTCTTCTGCTTATGGTAAGGAAAGCTGGATGTGGACGCAGGTGGAAAATTTCTGAATCCCCTGCACCGAGTTAATGCATCTGCTCCTACAAAATCCAATGAGAGCCGAGTGTCACTGCAGGTATGGAGCTGGTGAGCGTAGTTCTCCTATGGCTTTGGTGTAGCCTTAAATGTCATACTAACAAGTTGTTATTTATTAGACTTTATTCATTAAGTTGTTCCAGCTAGAAACCTGGAAAAGTCCTTGGAACCTCCCCTCCCCTCCCTTCCCAAGCCCCGTTATCACCAAGTCATGTCACATTTTCTCTAAAATATCTCTCAGATTTGTCCACTGCTCTTCATCTCTGCCATTACCCTGTTCCAAGCCACTATCGCTTCCCACCTGGACCACTGCCAAGGCCTTCTAGTTAGTCTTTCTGCTTCTTGTCTTGCCTGCCTCCCATCCTGTCACTCCCTGGCCTACCACCTTTCAGTGGCTGTACTTAGCATAATCCTTTACGTGGCCTTGGTGGTCTGTCTCCACGTCTTTCTCACTGAATATACTAGCCTTCAGGTCCTTGAACTTGCCAAAGTCTTGCCTACTTCAAGGATTATCCACGTGCTTATTTCTCCTGGGAATACTCGTTCAGTCTCTTGGATCACTTCTCATCTTTCAGGAATCAATTTCAATGGCACGTTCTTGGAGATGTGTTCCCTGATTCTCCTTTCCACTCCATCTCTGCTGGATCAATCAGATCCCATTTATTGTCCTCCCTGATGCACTATTTTTCTTTCATGTTATCACAGGTTGTCATTTAGAAAACATTGACGTTTTCATTTGTTTTAGGTCTGTCTCCCATCCACAGTAGATCACAGGAAAGCAAGGATTGTATCTTTGTTCAAAAGAGTTTACGTGTTGCCCAGTGCACAAAATACTCTTTGGATGGTGCTGCAATGAGAAATGCTAGCAGGTCCCGTGTAACAGGACTCTGACATGAAAATAATTTCATGCAAACAAATAAATGGTAATCCAAAATGAGTCTCAAAGATGTTTATGCACATGAGGCAAGCAAGGGGAAGACTTGAGTTATGATAGGATATCCCACGGCCTTTCTCAACGGCTATTTGAAAAATAAGAAGAGAACAAGAACAAAAATATTTGTTTTACAGCTCTACCAAGCCTCAGCCCTCCCCTTTCTCTCCCCCTTGCATCAAGTACATCCTGTACTTTTGGCAACATGTTGACTGGATATTTAAAAGCTGTGAACTGTTCAGAAAATTTCACATACTGGGTTATGGGCCATGTGTGTTTGATCAAAATTCAATTACTACACTGTACCATACTTGGAAACCTATCATCCCAAGTTATGAAGTATGACGAAATAGGCGAACCTAATTGGTTCAGTATGGGAACAGTATCAACCAAGCTTGTTATGATAAATAGCTTCCTGTGTTAAAGGTTCTCTAGAGCTTATAAGCATCTTGGCTCACCTCCTCCGTGGAGTAGGGATATTGCTCCCAGGGACCCCCTCGATCACTGTCCCTCCAGTGCAACGGCAGTTCAGTTTTCTCCAACTTACTGCCCCTGAAAAAGAAAAACTCTGTGCAAGTTTTCCTCTTCCTTCTCATTTCTTCATTAGAATTTGAGCACCTGGTAACTTCTTTAGCTTTTTTTTTTCCTCCTTAGAAGTACCCTCCGTGGAGTAGGGATATTGCTCCCAGGGACCCCCTCGATCACTGTCCCTCCAGTGCAACGGCAGTTCAGTTTTCTCCAACTTACTGCCCCTGAAAAAGAAAAACTCTGTGCAAGTTTTCCTCTTCCTTCTCATTTCTTCATTAGAATTTGAGCACCTGGTAACTTCTTTAGCTTTTTTTTTCCCTCCTTAGAATTTTAGACATCATGAAGCATTCCAAATAAAATAAAAATAAAACAGACAAAACATCAGATATTACCGACCACTAAGGTTTAACAAATAATATATTTTTTTCCTATTTCCATTAGATAGATCTCTTGTTTTTGTTTTTTATGTGTCCTTTATCCTGCTTCTTGGGACCAAAGATGGACCACCATTTATTAAACTACAGTATTTATGAGACTTAGACACTAAGTCCTAAGATGCTTTAACATACTAGAATCAGGAGGATGTACATCTCATTACAGAGAAGTACCTCAAGTTGTACGTCTTTCTGTTGAAATGGACTCAGTGAGAATTCCTGGTCTTTATTGTAGATGAGATTATAACGATCCATCGAGGAGGAAGGTTGTTGAAGGTGTGGGGAGCGAGATCAAGAAATTGTCTTAACAGTTTAGAAAAGCTATAGGAATAAACAAAACCAAATACTTCCATGCTTTGTGGTCATCATGGGCACATGCACATAATTTTTCTTTAGAAGTGACACTTTGGGTTGGGTTAGAAGTATTTTCTTCTAGTGATCTCTGTAAAAGGCAAAATAATTGGGTGACTGACATTTATCTTCCAGAAAACAATCAGAAACACTGGCATTTTCCTCAGAAGACAGCTGTAAGGCCAGGAAAATTTGCATATATTTACCCTTAATTCAAGACTACTACTTGCAGTTGCTTCTCTGAGTTTGTTCTTATTTTAAACATCCTTTGTATTAGATCATCCTCATTAACTCATTAACAGAAATGCATAAATGCTAAACTTGCATTTCTCCCCTGGAAAAAAGTGTTGTGTCCCATGAAAAGTTGTTTTGGTAAAAGGTAAGAGCCTTGGTTTGTCCTTGACAGTAATTCATCCATCATGAGTGCTGCAGGACATAACCAAGACACAGAGAAAGATCCTTGGTGAAGGCAAATCTGCAAGCCCACACAAGGGAGAGCGAAGATACCACGTGGTTTAGCAGTTTGAAATCACAATGCTGCCAAGGTTAGATTAGATTAGATTAGATCCTTGTTCTCTGCAGTACCTTAGGTTTACTTTAGAAATTGCAATTAGATTAAAACTTGTGATTTCAAAAATAGACCACTTGCACCCTGGCTCTAGTTAAAGCATCAGCCTGCTTACCATAAGGGTCAAAGTTTCTATTCCCAGTTCAGGGCATGTACCTGGGTGCAGGTTCCATCCCCAGCCCAGTTGGGGCGAGTGTGGGAGGCAATCAATCAATGTGTTTCTCTCATATTGATGTTTCGCTCTCTCCCCCTACCCCCTCCTACTCTCTCTTAAAAAAAAATCAATGGAAAATATCCTCTGGCGAGGATTAAAAACAAAGGCCCACTTGCCTTTCTGTTTCCCTCCATCAGGAGGATGCTAGTCTCATAATCTTTCATAATCTTTACGTAGAACTTCGAATAAGAAGTGCTCTCTGAGAGCCTTCAAAGAATAAAATGTGACTGACTGTTGGTACTTATGCTGCCATATGTATGCTTTTTTCACTTAACAAATGTCTGATTTTTGGCAAATCAACTTTTTTTTTTTCATTGAAATTTGCCTGATTGAATGCCATGGGAGGTGGCAGAATAAATGCTATTATCTATGTACAGTAATTAAGGAAATAGTCCTTGTCACTCCAATAGGAGCCAGGCTCTTCCTTCCTGTAATAACATCTATATATATAAAAGCCTAAGCGACCAAATGACCAGAATAACCGGAATGACCAGTCAACCAGTTGCTATCATGC